ACTGATTGATACATGATAGTAGTTGAATAACATCCACCTATTGTGGTAAAAATAGCGGATCTTACACTCAAGTCTATGCAGTACTTTATAATGGGATATATCTGCAAAATCTCCTGAATGTACATTTGCAAATTTTGCATATTTCATTTTTTGCAATTCCAGTGTCTCAGAATTTCAAGAAGTCTGTTTGAAGACTTTGAAGACTTCAGAAAAGACATAGCTTACACATAAACCAGTGTAGATTTTAATACATACTAGGTAAGAGATTTACATAACTACTATTTATATGTCATTAAAGTATTAACACCTAGACTTTGTTCAGGTGCATGTGGGTATATCAACTCTACCAATATATTACTCATTCCTCACAAGGAGAAGAAAGATTTTGAAAAGACTGATAAAAATTGCCAAAAGTAAATATACCATATACCGATATACTATATGGAATTTGTTAAACTTGTTAAAAAAATTGTATATGTCACTCGCCTTACATGTCCCAAGCATTTAGTCCAGTGACCTATCAAAATATTTACCAAATATAACATATTCAATTTTACATTAACATAAGTTATAAGTCGAAGATTTTTAAAAACATCACAAAGGTGTTACATTAAACAGAATTTTTGACATGACCATATAACATGACACAACAGGCCAGTGATGTGATAAAATAACATTGAAGTGTACAGCATGATAACTTTCATAGGTTCATTGGATAAATCAATATCCAAGAGCATGACAGGGGCTGTACATACTATTACCAAAGAGAAATGTGACTGCTGCAGCCATTGTTCAACGGTATTGCTATACATTTGTAAAACCTCTGTTATTTATCATAATTATGAACATTAATATACTGTACACAGTAGTAATTACACATACATTTTAAGTCGAGGAAGACAACAACTGCATATGTAAGATATTAAAATGCTTTTTGAAATTTTATATACATACATGTACCAGGAACAGAGAATATCAACATTTTAACAACATCTGTCTCCTAGCTGAACATTTTAAATAAATAAATATAAACTTTATTTATTTTACAACAATTGCGAAACAAGTTATGTCAACTTATACTAATCACTCTTGTTGGCCCGGATGTAAGTGCGCGAGGGGTCTTATTGTGGAAGGAAACCGGAGTACCTGGGAAAACCCACGTGGTCAGGCAGGTGACCCCACACCTTTTCACGTCCGTTCCGGGAATTGAACACCGGTCGGCTAGGTGAAAGGCGAGTGCGTTAACATTGCGCCACTTTACCACCCCTGAACATTTTAATTGTTCTTCGTCATCAATAATTAACAAATAACTATTACACTATGTATTTAATACTATATTTTTAAGTACTTATGTAATTCATATACTTTTAAGATATATAAATGTGTATACCATAAGCTTTGCACCATTACGATCTTTTGCTGTACACATCATTAAGAAAAGGTTTCCATTTTCTGATCCTGGTTTCCGCCCTATAGATAACTGGGTGTGGGCTGCTTTGCTCTTGTTTTTCATGTTCATTGTTGGCAGCATTCTGTTTTGAACCTCAACATTGCAAGTTAGCCTCATCTTGGAACTGAAATCCTGAATCTGACTTCTTATCTGAAGGATAAATTAAAACATTTCAAATAATTGTATCACTTCTAAATGTAGAATATTGATGCAACTTTCAGTATATACAGGATTTTAACATGATTTACCATTTAAATGTAACTGCATTCCTCATGCCCCTGGTATTACGATCATTTTAGCTCTCTGCACTCCTAGAACAGTTCCTGGCAAAATTGAAGGTTCCATGTGTAAAGACTTGTGAACACTAGAAGACTAGTTTGATGTATATACAATGCATGATGTGCAAGATGGTATAGGTTGTACTGGGTTTGAAGTTTGGTGTCCCTTCTTTGCAATTTCCAAAAATGTGTATAAGTCTGTGATTGGTCAGTTTTTCCCCCCCTGAAATCCGCTCTAGACCAGTCAAAATACTTTATCCTCTTATTTAGCCAGAAAATGTTGCAGTGGTGCAGAAGTGATTGTAATCTGCAGTGAAGATGATAAACTGATAAAACAAGTCTTATATGAGTTTTTCATTTTTCTGAAACTACATACGAAATTTATTACAGATCCATTCAGTAATTTTCATGAAACAACAAGGACTGATGGACAGATGACAAACCACAAATGCAGGGTGATTTAATAGCCTACCATCATCATAGCAAATCATCTGATGACTGTGGGCTAAACGGGCAGTTTTAAATTGTATATCCAAATGTCTGTCTCATCAGATTTGCTTGTTTTCAGGCGACTATTAAGTATATCATACTTGATAATCACGTACAAAGATGTTAAATCATGCCACAGGGGCATGTTTGTTGTTACTGACAATAAGAGTAAACAATTTAACACAAAATTTTAAGAAAGGGCAATAATTTCTTTGTACGACCAATGTATATACCAAGTTTCACGATCCTAGCTTTAATGCAAACAAAACTAGGCACATGACACAAAATGTTAACAAAGGGCAACAACTCTGTAACTGAGGGGTCATAGATCTTGACATTGCTACACTGCATCTTGCTTTTGTATGACTTGTGAATATGTATCACAATTCAATATCTTAGTTTAATTGCAGGCAAAGTAATGCCCAGAACACAGTTTTTAATAAGGGGCAATACCTCTGAAATGGAGGGGTTGAGGGTCCCAACATCAGTACACTGCACATTGTCTTTGTATCATCAATGTATCCACCAAGTTTCATTATCCTTGTATAAATGCAGGCAATTTAATGTTGTGCTCTTGACACAAAATTTTAAGGATGGACAATAACCTTCTAATACGAGGCTGTGGTCACTGAATTTGGTACACTGCACGTTGTCTTAACATGATCAATATAAACACCAAGTATCATTATCCTTGCTTAATCGAATGAAAGAAAAGTTAAGCTTCGAACAAAAATTTTTAACAAAGGGCAGTAACTATGTAATTTAGGGGTCAAGTGCCCTGACTTTAGTGTACTGCACTTCGTCTAAATGTGACCAATATATACATTAAGTTTCATGATCCTTGCTTAATTTTCAGCAAAGTTATGCTCCGGACATGAAAGGCTGGACAGATGGACAGACATGGCATTGACTTCATGTTCCAACAAAAATTTTCGGGGAGCATAACAAGATCTTCTGGTATCAATTGCAATAATAATGAAATATCCTCTGCTTCACCAATAAAAATTTTTCAGGTTTGCTATTCTTTTCATAAAGTTTGGACCATCTGTAGAAAGATCCTCTATACTCCAGAGGTTGCATTCACTTTCACTCTCTGCAACCCTAGAACATTTCACGGCATAATTGAAGGCTCTATGTGCAACATCTTGTGAATAAGACATGAAGGGTAGTTTGATCCTTTGATGAAGTACATCTCCAGGTTACATAATGATATGTCGTACTGGGTTTGAAGTTGGGTGTTGCTCTTTTATAATCAGCAAATCAATATGTTATTGGTCAATGTTTTTCTCCTGAAACCCCTCATGACCAGTCAACTAACTTCCCTTGTGCCTTCACCAGAAGGTGCAAGTGATTGTAAATGTGAAGTATTGAAGATACAGTAGAAAGGTTGTTATTTTCAAATCTCTAAATTTACACATTGCCACACTCTTTGACTTTAAGAGATTCGGTTCTCCCAATGTATCATATTCTGTAAAATTCCATATATAACAATAAAGGTGATATATAAAGAATTGTTATGGAGAAGACCTCTGTTCATGTTCAGTTTGTTTTACTTATATATAATGTTACATACAAGATAAAATTTAAGTATCTGGCCCTTTTGTGACCTCATTAGGCAAAGAGGAAATCATATCCCCCGCAAAAATTTGTAATATTTTTAAAGACAGTGTGATATATATATAGATAGGCTATCTATTATCTTTTGTAACTTTTGTTAATAAGATCTTAGCTAGCTTACTGTAAGTCAGTTATAAGGGGAAAGTTCAGTCTAGTTAACTGTGTTCTGTAGTATGGACTTTAGATTGATAATGTAAATTTTATTATTCTGTTTTTTTTTTTTTTGTTTGTGTATTTTTGAAATTTTGGACTCCTTTTAGAAAGTTTTATAATTAAGATGTATATATATATCAAACCAGGAAATGTAGAATATTATATATATAGCCGACAAAGAAATCAAAAGGGTTGTTGTTCGTTATTTTCAATTTTCACTTGATACAAGTACAGCTTTACATCAGATGAATGTTCTTTTTTACTATTTGGGAAGAGCGACCTTTTCGAGATAAAGTTGTTATTTGAAGTGAATTTTACGAATGAACTATGCACCAATATTAAAAACAAAATTAAATCTATGGGTCTTTCAATAACAGATAATATTTATTATGATAAGATTCATTTATTCTTTAAAATTAAAAAAAAAAAGGTGGGGCAAGAAAAAAACATGAATTTTGTTATTTTGCAGTCTGCTAAAAATGTATAGAGAGGGAATATAGTTGAAACTTGTTTATTATTATTTATAGTCAGCGGTTACAGGCCCTTGTGTAAACAGTTGAAAAGGCGAAATATCTATAATCATTATATGTACTACGAAGTTAACAACATCATACTAACTTTGTTACACATAACTTACTTTCCACTATGAAGGATTTCGCATGTCAATTTTGCGATAGCTCGTAGCTAATGTTAAAATTTCCGCCAAAAGTCTCGTTTTAGGCAGTGTACATTTCCGGCATATTCATACGCTGTGTGTGTAGGGTTTATTTTTAATAAATATTTTCACTCGATTGTTAATCTTTCGGTTTTTCTTGACATGAAATATATAAATATACTAAAAACGATACTAATGAACAATAGCAATATGCTTCTTTCATTTGGAAAATGTAAACTTACATTTTATATTCTTTGCGGAGTATTATCCGCTTTAGTGTTGTTCGGTCGCCGCTGTCAACCTCGAGCCGAATCGGTGCCACTTAATCGATGAGCTCTTTGACAGCTGTCAGCTAATCGGGATCGGGCAAATTTCTTCAACTGTTGTGTCTGTGTTGTGAAAATACGATACCATGCTTCACTGGTTTTAGATCGACACATTTGTTTTTGGCGCATCTTTAAAATGTCATCGTTATTTTGGATGCAATATGTTGAACAGTTCGTAATGAATATTGAATATGATGATGAACTGATTGATTCTGGACTCGCGGCGTTGTGATTGTGTTTGCGGTTTGCAAGAAATGAACGTTTAATGCCGGTTACAGCTACAGTACTATTGTAAGGATGAAGCTGAGGAAGAGCAATGTGCGACTGTTGGCACTGTCGGCTTTCTATGCACTCTATCTTGTTATTGGAGCGTCCATTTTTTCAGCCATTGAAGGTCCGAAAGAACGGGATTTAGTTAAAGAACTCCGTGATTTGAGGATACAGTTTTTGGAACAGAACAAATGTATAACAGGTACAAGACTTCTACAACCTTTTCTTTCATTTGCTATTTACGTATCTGTAACAGATGTAAAGCTTTTGATTTGATAAAAAATGATATAACAGAAAACATATACCATAAAAATCATGTATTTTCGTGGAACTCAAATTATGGGGTTTCACAAAAGATATGCATTTTCGATGGCTCTTAATTTCATGGATATACAAGTTAATTCATTAAATCCACTTGTATTAAAATTATGGCAATCTTTTTTTTTCTGTAGACATATGGATTTGAGGATTGAGAGTTACCACTAATTCAATGAAAATATAACCAACGAAAAAAAATGACTTTACAGTAACCTAAATACTGAAGCTGCTTTCCATACATACTATGCCTATATCCAGTAGGAAGTGGATGTAAGAGAGAGAGAGAGAGAGCCATATCAATATCTATCATGCATAGCATCAATATCTATCATCAATATCTAACATATCTATATTTGGTAATGAGATCACCTTGTACATAGCCTTTATTTCGAGGGCACAGGTTGTTATAAACCAATATTGATTTTAACTTGAACAGTTCTTGTAACATAAGTTTAAAACTATGTACCAAATAGAATGATTAGATATGCACTTGGGGCCAAACAGATTTTGAAACATTGCAAATCCACTTAAAGATACAGGTATCTGCAACTCTCGGATAATTGTCTGAAATTGATAAAACTTGTCCATAAATGTTAGTTATTCCTACGGCCTTTAATTCCTAACCCTACTGTTAGTACCCGTTCTTGTAAACTACCCACTGAAGTTGGATCCATGCAATGAGGATTGCCATCGACACCTGACTGTCGGACATAAGCCCCGTCATGCCATGTCTAGAACCAAAGTAGTGCTAAAACAGTAAATTTTGGACAAAAATCACAATGAAATATAAATGCACAAGTTTTGCAACTACAGGAACCCTCCTCATGGATCTGCCACTCAGACCCATGTGTTAATATAGACAATGTGATAAAAGTGAAAAGAGGGTGTAAAATTGCGAATGGACAGTTTCAACTAACAGACAACTGGTATCAATTATTTTTTCATAAAACTACAATATTTGGTGCATAATTAATATCAAATAATGTCTGGAAATATCACAACACTATGATGATAATAATAATAACATTTTTTATGTTTGTTCCCCCTTTTTTGTTTTGCTATGTAGTGTGTAATCTTTATTCATACTTTAACTGTATACTTAAAAAAAAACTTGTCCAGAAACAATAATAGTTAAAGATCAGTTTATTTCATGGTCAAAATAGTTAACTGAACATTTTGTGGAGTTAAAGATAGATATGTCTATGAAACAACAAGATATTTCTTTAAATACACCATTCTGATTAAATATTTTCCAATGGCTACAAACTTTTTGATTACAGAAGCATATTTAATACATAATATAATGCATGATATATACATTAGTCTTTGTCAAAGATGTAGCACCTACCGATGTATATATTTGTAAAGATTGACAAGACTCACATTTCCTGTGCACAGATATACTGCAGAGCCTCCTGTCTAGGTTTCACTACACTGGTACAATATACACAATTAGAGGAGATATTCGACATTTTACCAAGAATCTAAATGGCTTGTGATTTGCTAGTGAACATGCAACATTAATTTATGTATTGGATAATGTGCTTCTATTCATCTATTGGTTGATTGTAATTATCTATTGCAATTTTCTCTGATGTTTTGTTATCCCACAACCAAAAAAGTTGGTGGGGGGGTCCCCCAGATAATCAAATGGGTTCTGTCTGTCTGTCCAGATGCTGCTTTCCACATGACATCTTTTGAAGGACAGGTCAGATTTTGATGAAACTTGGTTGGTACATTTGTGACCTTAATTAAGTTAATCAGGTTAGATTAACGGCAAATTCCGCATATATTTAACGAGGCTGCTGTGACCTGATTTGCTGATTTTTTAATCACTCTATGAGAAATTTTTCTGCACTTTATCTTATGAAGGAATGATAAGATTTTTATGAAACTTGCTATGTAGACTTATTACCTTAATTCCTTGTTCAGGTTCGATTATCAGCAAATTCTATGCATATTTTATGAGTGCTGTGAACTAATTGGCTGATATCCTTCGAATCTCTAACTGATTGTTTTCCACGTGTTATCTTTTGAAGCAAGAAATGAAGTTCAAGTTTGATTAGTGGCAAATTCTTTGCTTATTTAATGAGGCTGCTGTGGCCTGATTGGCTGATATCATTTCCACTTTTCTATGTTGCTCACTTTAAATGTAGATATTTTACCATTGAATATGGGCAGAGTATCTTAAAGACTATGTCCTTGTTTGGATTGTTTTGTTTTAATGTGAATGCTGCAATTCAATGTACAAAAATACAATTTGTGTTGAGAAAGACACAATGAACAACTTAACTGTTTACTTCGAGTAAAACCAGACACACACTTACCTCAAAAAAGATGTATTTTGTGGTAATTGACCCATGAAGGATGGCTGTTCTGTTTATTTTGCATACAACAGAACATTTGTGTAAATAGATCATGGACTTCAAAAGATGTTATGAAAACATACACACAAACTTTGCAGTGTAATATTATATGATGTAATCCTGTTTGTCCCAAAAATTAAAAAATCTATATCCTGTTTGTCCAAAAAACAATATGTACATGAATAAGGCAGTGTGTGGTTTAACATTTAAGGTACCTGTGTGTGTTGTTTTAACAGGTAAAGAACTGGTCCAAAATTTTATAGCGGTAAACTTACACAAGTAAACCGTAAAGCTATTTGAAACATTTTGAAAAAATCAAATACAAATATTATTATAACGTTAACTAATATATAAGCATGTATGGATAAGAGGAAGTAGTAAACATTCAAGCCCTATATAAAAATTGAACACCCAAGCTAGATATGCATAACTGTACTGGAACAGTAGTCACCGATAAAATGTATACTATATCAGACATCCTTCCAAGTTAAATTATGTTGTAAGTATAATTGTATAATTATACAAAATGTACATTATATGATAGTGGTATGTAGTGCTAAATTTACCTTATAATAAAACTCTTGGTAAATTAATGGCTGGTTTGTTTTCTTACCCATTACAGACTTATACATACAAATTCCTGTTTATCCTAAAAAATATTTTTATCTGATTTTTCAGTTTTGGGACAAACAGGATGACACCTATTATACAGCCAGTAAACTTAACATAGAACAACACCACTTAACTTAAACTTTCTTTATCAATTCTTAACTGAAAAAATACATACATGTTGGCACTAACTTCGTATTTCTCTGTTGTTATATGGTTTGGTCATAATGAATTTTTGGGGCGTAACGGTTTTGAGGGAAAATGTCTGACACCTGTATAACAACTATCAACAGACACTTTGTAAAGTATACAAACCTTTAAGGACAAGGGCATATAGTTTTACATAATGTTTACAAACTTGATAGGTCTGTCAAATGCTTTCATTTCTGTGGATCATGCAAATATACCACGTAACATATGTATAAAAAGTCATACTCTGTTCCTTTTATAAGCTGTTTAAACTAGAAAATTAAGGTCAATACATGTCTCTAATTGTACCATAGTATATGTAGCAGCAGAGCTTGCAAGTGATTAACTGTAGAATACAGCAGCCATTAACTAGAATGTGAAACATAGATTGCACTCCTGGGAAATTTGGTGTAGAAAGAAAATGTGCTAACAGACGTTTGGAATAATATTAATACTTGTATTATATATATACTGGCTGATTGGTTTCTGTCATCAGCAACCTCATAGTTGGGGATTCATATTAATAACTGTCTGCTGTAAAACAGGACTTAGTTGTAGCACCTATCCAATGTCCATTAAGGTCAAATGCATGATACTTATCTGATGAAAATCTGTAAAACAGCTTGCAAGGTTTAAATAAAGCTCCGACACTGCAACATTTCTGTGTACATGTACATATGTAATTGCTTATGTTCAAATTTTTAAGAAATTTAATTGCAGTAAGACAAATCTGTAAAAAAATTAGACTCAAGAAGTATTTCTAATTTCAGTAAAAGAAAATACATTTTGGTGTAGAGTTATTTCATTACAGTCATACGGATCATGTGATGCCAAAATTTGGTGTAAATGAAGAATTAGGACTTCATGTACAAAATGCTCATTTTAATATATGTTGTGAAAGGTACTGCACATTCTCTCAATATATGGTTTAATGGAAGATGAACAGATGTGGCACTTTCAATATAGCATTTGGTTGTATATAATGATTATTATCACTTATAAGAGATAGGAAGGATATACCAGGTCTTGTGATTGCCACTGTGTTGTGTTACTTATTTATCTTTCTGTTATGCAGTCCATTTGACTTCTGTTTTTGAACACATCATGATTTACATCACATCTGTCACTGTACCATCCTAGTCTGCAGACATTGTTATATTGCTTGCATATAAAAAGAACTTGACTGGCTTCAATTTATAAGAAAGGAAGTCTTCACCTACACATAATCTTTCTACAGAAGAAATATTGGCTAATCTTGCTTTACTGCTGCAATCATTGAGGTAGATTGTCTGCATTGATGATAAGGATACATACCTTCTGTATTTATATCAGATTCCAAAACTTCACAGGAATCTGTCTGAACAGGATTTTATTGTTGGCTTATCTAATTGTCCAACTAAACTTCTGACAATTTATCAAAGTCTTCGGGGCTGATTTAATCCATTGCTTCAATCCTCACAGAAAATGCTGACTAATGGGAATGCTCTTGAGGACCAAAGGTCAGAGTCACTGCTATATTAAATACACTTAAATAGAAACTTGGTTTCAGCTTAATATTTTGAATTCTGTTTCACTTTGGTCAATGATGTCACTTACTAAGTTATGCTCCATCCAGTTGTTTTCCCTAAAAAGTGCAGCTACAATGTAGCTTACTTGGGTTCATTCTTTCAGATATGGAGGTCAAAGGTCATGGTAACTCTAGATCTATTTCTCTGAACAG